ACTTGAATTGCCCCTGGCAATGTCAATCTGCGCATTTTGTCTGAATGCCATTTGGCAGTCCTGAAAACTTCCTTTTAGCATGCTTGTGTTGCCCCTCACTTTTTTTCTTTTTGAGGAAATACATCCTATTTTAAGGAGAAAAAAAAATTATACATGGCAATAAATAACTTGTACACAGATACTTGATAAGACTTCTTTTAAAATTGTGAACACCATGAAAGTGTCTAGCTGTGTGATGATAGATGACTCATGTACTGGCAGGGTACATTTACTGGCCAAAGATAATGACGCTATTAGCCTTTTTTAGAAAATACAATTTATATAAGGTGTTTATAGCCATGTTTTTTTAAAGGACTGTTGTGCTGGGGTGAGGCGTAGGGGTGGGTAGTAGAGAAGGAAATACACAAGCACGAGAGCCGCGTATACAGATAACAACAGTTGCTTTTGGGTTTGGTTATTGTAACCCCTCCTGCCCTTCTAGTTTCTTTTTATAAACTCTAGGTTTAACTCCAAAATCCTCTATAGCTTTTTTTCCCCTTGGGGGTGGGGTGGGGAGGATCGTCTCTAACTCTTCTTAAAATCCTGATGTGTAGGGCAGGAACGAGATTTGGGGACACTGGTGATGGGAACATGGGATATAATTTTCTGGGCTTTTCTGACCTAAGATTAATGGGACCTTGGACAAATTAGATTGTCTTCTGTCCTGTATTGGGACAATAGCCAAGTGTTGCCACTAAGTCCCAGTGTTTCTTGTTCAGATGCCTTGTAACCTCCCCATAGTGGTCAAAGCCCATTTTCTTAAGGCCTTGCTTCGTTATGTCTGCGTTCTTTGTTTACAAAGGAGAGCTGCTGGCTCTGGGGCACTAACTCCCCTTGGGCAATACAGTCCTTTCCGCATCCCGAGGAAGGCACAGCTGAGAGAAGCTGTATGCCTGAAATGGCACTTCTGTGATCTCTTTCTGCCGTGTGAGTGCCCCCAACCCACCCTGCCACTGCTCTTTCGCTGACACGGAACTGGTATTTTGACTCAGCTCTGTGGTTTCGATCTTAGCACTCTCTGGCATTTTCTTTTTGTTCTCCCAAATCTTAATGACCTAGAGAGTGTTTAGATGGCGGGATTACAGAGACACTGTACAGACCAGGTGACAGGTTTCTGCTTACCTTGGGGAAGAAGAGATGCCATTTTTGTTGTTCATGTCAAGCTTTCACCATCTTCACAGATTTAAAATGACACCTTGCTTTCTGCTGTGTGAATGAGAAATTGTTTTTGAAAATATTTCCTGCATACCTATGTACAGGTAAAAGGGAATATTTTCTGCCACAAAGCAGCTCAATTTTTAGATTGTTTTTCAAGAAAGACTTCAATCTGTCGTTCCATTCTGAAGTTGTAGATTTTCTGGTGAACCAATGTAAATGACAGTGGACTGACTGTCGTATCTTATTAGAGGTTATTAGAAATGTGCCAGCACCTGAATGTAATGTACAACGAGAAGAAGACCGGGAGTGTGGAGGTAGGAGGACACGGCTCAAGAGATAAGCAGTATTAGCCGCCCAAAGTAGTTATGTGCCATATTTAGGAGTTTGGTCTTTATTTGGATTGCCAAAGGGATCATCGGAAGTGCTCAAGGAAGACCCGACATGACCTCCTTGTGTTTTAGGAACAATACTCTAGTTGCAGTGTGGGCACTGCATGAGAGGAAGAGCACTCTGGGCAGCAGCAGTGCAGCCAAAGAATGGTGGTGATTGGATTCATATTCTGGCTGGTGACAGTGGTGACAGAACCCAGGGGTCGGATGATCGGATTTGTCACATGGTGGAATGCCAGTGGCTGAGGAAGAGTTGGGAACTAGGATTATTTTCAAGAGTAATTAAATTAGTCCAGAAGTTTTAAGGAAAAAGAAACTTTAAAGAGGGGAAGAAGTAAAGTAGTATAAGCTTGAACTTATGTCAAGCTGCTCTATATTGCTGTGAATAGAAATTTTAGAAAGTGATCATTCAGTGTAATGTTTATTAAGCGCAGCTCGTTCACTGTCAATGAGAAGTGCCAAAACTATGCAATTGGCTCCTTTGGGGTTGCTGCTGCTTGAGAGCATTCTGAGTGCATCTGAGGTCACCCGAAATGCACGTAAGTGCTTGGGATAGTTTCCCTGCTGCTGTGCCTTAACACATTTAGAATATAGGCACTACCCCACCCTAAAATTGGCATAGTTCCCCCTGTGACTCTTAGGGTGTTCTTGGACATATTAACACTTTAAGCTTAAACTCTTTATCAGCAAATGCAACCAGCGTTTAAATGTAGAGATTTTGACTAAAGTGCCCCCATCAGTAGAGCACAGCAAAAAGACTTTGCTACAATTCTTTTCTTTCTTTTTGGATGCAATTCTTAAGCCTTACGCCAGGCGTCCTCAAACTATGGCCTGCGAACCACATGCGGCCCGTTGAGGACATTTATCCGGTCCACCAGGTGTTTTTGCCCCATATGTTTTTTTACTTCAAAGTAAGATATGTGCAGTGTGCATAGGAATTTGTTCATAGTTTTTTTTAAAACTCTAGTCCAGCCCTCCAAAGGGTCTGAGGGACAGTGAATTGGCCCCCTGTTTAAAAAGTTTGAGAACCCCTGCCTTACGCAAATAAAAACAATTCTGAAACCCTTGCGTAAATATTACTGGTAACTTCATATTCCATTTGCTGTTCACACTACTTTGCAAAACCTTGAGTTGAAAAGACAAGACAAATGATACAATCTTGTACTTTATGTCAACAAACAATAAACCAGCGGTTCTCAGCCTGTGGGATGCGGCCCCATTGGGGGTCAAAGGACCCTTTCACAGGAGTCGCCCAATTCATAACAGTAGCAAAATTAGAGCTGTGAAGTAGCAACGAAAATAATATTATGGGGAGGGGGTCACCACCACATGAGGAATTAATTGTATTAAAGGGTGGCGGCATTAGGAAGGTTGAGAACCACTGCGAATAAACCTTTACCTTAGCCTTTCTGACATTTAAACTGTTTATGAGGAACAGTAGAATGTTATGGTTCAGGTTATGGTCTTTGAATTAATTTAAATCATCTCATTTAGTGGCTGTATGTTCCCACCTGTTAGTTCAAGTTATAAACCAATCAAACTGCTTGTACGTACCATTTCCAACACGCGGTGAGCCCTCCTGATGCTTTGGTTCTTACATTTCTAAGCCGCCTGGCAGCCCTGTTTATGACTGAAGGAGCCCTGCTGATGGTTGGGCTGCTAAGCTCCGGTTCAAACTCACCACCTTCTCCCAGGGAGAAAGCTGAGGCTGCCTGCTTTCAGAAATAGTTAGACTCTTAGGAAACCCTATATAGGGTCACTATTGAGTCAGAATCAACAACCCAATGGTAGCGAGATTGATTATCCGTGATTTATGGAGGGATTGCTTTGTGGGCGGGTTTAAATTGAAAACAGGAAGCTCTGGCTGCGCTGCTTGTGGATTTCACTGCCTTCTCTCCCCCACGGCTTAGCCTACCCAGCCCGCCTTCTCCCCTTTCCACCCCATGACAGAATCTGTGTGTATCCATTCAGGTGTGGGTTCCCAGTAGAGACCACAAAAAAGGTGTTCTTACCTGCATTTCCCCCATGGTCCCTCTGTCAGCCAGTTCTGAGAGCTCAGATTGAGCAGAAAACGATTTATAAATGTATTTAATTGTTATCTTGCCTATGGGTGAAACTATGAGATCTTAGAGCTGTTTCTTGTTTCACTCGCAATGAGTTATAGGCACCCTAGCGGGGAGAGGAAAGGAGAGGCTCTGTGTGGAAAGTTAACCTAGGTTTTATTTCTTGTCTGTTGACCAATTAAAATATTTCCTAAGCACGTGCTGTTTGTGAATGCACAATGTCTTATTACAGAATGTCCACAAGTTCTGCAGGAGCTTAAGCGTAGGAGTGTACGTACAAATTGGGGGTGGGGGGTGGCACCCTGAGCACCAAACGACCGAGGCAAGCAGGCTAGCAATAGAAAATATTCTATAGATAAGTCACTTTCAGTGAGGACCCCAGACAGGCCCATGCTTATAGAACTATCTAGTTTGAAACAATTCTGTATCACATAAAGAATTGGGTTGAATTGCTTTAAAGCACTAGTAATTGCTATTTAATGATGAACTATGATAGATACTTTGATCAAGAGAATCACCACCCTTGGGACTTTTGAATTTTTGTAGACTCAACTCTCATAACACAAAGACCAACGTAAACGACCCACCCACCCACCCACCCACCCTATCATGCTCTTAACTTTAATTGATGGAAAGCCCATTTCACGCTTCAAAGTCTCATCATAGAATATTTTAAATGAATTCTTTTTGTTGTGCCCATGTTTCTGGTTGATCAACGTTTTAAGTTGATTGGGAATACAGAAATGGCATTTTCCTTGGCTAATTCTATTTTCTAACTATTCCTTTAAGAGGTTTATTACTAAATGGCAAAGAATTTGTTTTTAAAAAACCAATTAGCATTTAATTAGTACATAAAATTTCATGTATGCATAAAAATTCTTTTTTACTGTACAGTTTTAATATTCATTAGACTTAATTTACCTTTTATTGTGCAAGTAGTTTGAAGATAAACTGCAAGATACTGAATGTTTAAGGTAGTCCACCTTTTTCAGGTAAAAGCTCATTACCAAATGTGAAGTGCTACTGAGCTTAGTTTGGCTGCAGTGATGTTGAGTTCAGCATTTGAGCCACACGATTCTCCTTTAACTTTCTGATGAGCTTTATTAAGGAAAATTCCTAAAGTATAAAATTTGAAGATAGGTAATGAAGGATGTATTAGGAAAAATTTGAAGTACATTAAATAATTAAATTGAGCAAAGAAACATAAAGACAAATATGTTTGAATTTTGCGGTGTTGACCTTAGTTAGACTGGGACTTCAAATTTGTGGAATGCAACTTTTCCCCTTTGTGTCACTTAGCATGGTGCAATAGAAGAATACATTCTAATACTTTTCTCTCCCCCTCTTTTAGGATTTTCTCATTCTGCATTTACCTTTGGCATAGAAAGCCATATTAGTCAGTCTAATATAAACGGCGCCCTTGTCCCACCTGCTGCGTTGATTTCTATCATCCAGAAAGGTCTGCAGTATGTAGAAGCAGAAGTTAGTATTAATGAGGTAAGGAAGACTCGATTCAAACACGATTTTTACTCTTAAGTGTGTCCTTAAATCTGATTTTTTTCCCTTGGGTATCTTCCTCAAGTTTTACTAGCTCGACAAAATGAAGGGGGCAGTATTTCTTTCCATAACTGTCATGTCTAATGCCCAAGCCATATGTTGGCTCACAATTGTAAGGACCATTATTTATAGCTTATTCCTTTTTCTATGGTTTTCTCAGTAAACAATAAAAATCATTAAAACAACAGGAATGTACTATGGAATGCTGAGAACATAATTGAGCAATTAGAACATCGTGAGCTTTCTGGAAAGATGATGTGCTCTAATTTTGGGAGACGTTGTCATTGAAGCTGCAGTTTGATGCTGCTGCCTGTCCTGAGACCCTCTGTTGGTGGCTTATCTAGCCTTCTTTTTATCTCCGAGGTGCATCTTGTTCTGAGTATTTAGTGCCTAGTGCAGGGAGACCCGTGAGAGCTGGTGCTGGATGGGACTGCCTTGTTTTATCAGGTTTTGCAACTTTGCCTCCTCTGATGAATGCTGGCTTACCACTGTTCTATTGTCTGTGCAAAGTTATTTGTGTTTTATTTCTTTTGACAGGCTTTCTCCTTACCTAGGTTCCAGCTTTTGCTGGAAAACACACACACACACACACGACTCGATAACAGCGTATTAAATTGGTTTATTCTTTTTGGGTTTCCCAATTTTTATCACTGAAAACGAAAACAAACTAACCAGCCTGTATCTCTTTTGTCTTAGCACATTTTCTCTTTCAGTGTATTCTGTATTGAAGAATGAGATAAGATCACCCAGTTCTCCCAGTGACCAGAGTTGATGTCCACAGTACTCCTCAGAATATTTGTATTGACTTGAATAATATTTCTGGGCACAAACAGTTAATAACACTGCACTCCTGGGCACCCAGTCCTTGCAGAAACACCTTAGACAATGCTCATCATTGGATACTTTGGAACACGGTTTTACTGTGTAACACACATGGGACATCATGGCCAGACAAGGGATAAGTTGTATGGGTTATGGTGTTTTCTCCTCAGAATTTCCATTATCACTGATAATTCAGGATATGTTTTGTTTTTGTCACTCCCAGTGCCCGTTCATGCCACTGTGGATTGTCAGTGGAGCTTGGGCCTCAGTTCAAGTGTAGCGTAGTACCAAGCTTCAAATATGCACTCTCCTAGCTTATTGGTACTGTTGCTATTTCTGATTTATTCTTTCTCCTCTTGTGCTCACTGGACATGTTTTTATTAACGTGGAAAAATATGGAAGTTCTCCATGACATTAAAAAGCACTACCTATGTGTCACGATGGTTACTTCTCAAACATCACACAGGAGACCCACCCAGAAAGTTCACGAATATTACAGATTCTTGAGGCTCACCCACAAACAATTGATCTACAGGCTTGAAGCTTCATGTCTAACAAGTCATCAAGTGATGGCTGTACTGTTGACTCTCGGATCACACTTTGAATGAAGAGATCCTAACTGCCATGGGCTGAGCTGTGTGACAATTCTTTACATCTTAATATGCTTGGCTTTTTTCACAAGGAAGGTGTAATGATTAGAATGGATGGTGTCATATCTGAAATTCACTTGTACTTTTAATGTTTTCATCAAGTCACAAGAAGCTTGTCATTACAACACATCTATTTTACACACACACACACACACACACACACACACACACACACACACACACACACACCTTTCAAGGATAAAGAAATACCCTAAAGTGGCCCCAAACATCATTTATTGGTTGTATTGGCCATTGCTTTTGACTAACAGAATTTTGGAATCTCTACTCATTAAGCTTTTACTTAACTCTGGGTCTGCATTTACTTGTCCCTTTTGAGTTTTTTTTTTTAAGCAGTAGACTTGAACTTGAATCTCTCTGTGAGCAACATGACCTAATTGTGGACGGGAAATTTAAATAGCCATTTGCAATTGCTACTTAAGTTTTTCTCCTTCCTTTCCTCCTGCCTGCCCTACATGAATTTAGAAATTATCTAAATGTACTTTTTTTCCCCTTTGAAAGATTTTTTCCCACTTTGCTATAGATTTCCATGAATATTAATAACCCAAATGTTTTGATTTTTTTCTTCTGTCACGCTTTCCAAATCCAGGATGGTACCTTGTTTGATGGCCGACCAATAGAGTCTCTGTCACTGATAGATGCCGTGATGCCTGATGTAGTCCAGACGAGACAGCAAGCATATAGAGATAAGCTTGCACAGCAACAGGCTGCTGCAGCTGCAGCTGCCGCAGCTGCCACGAACCAGCAAGGATCTACAAAAAATGGAGAGAACACAGCAAATGGCGAGGAGAACGGAGCACACACTATAGCAAGTGAGCGAAGAAATGTGAACCCTTCCCTTTCAGAGGAATTAGCTATGCTCAACAGAACTGTGCCATCTTCTAAGCTGTTCTTTCTCCAGAGCTTCCTCTGTTTTATGCCGACTAGTTTGTCTGACTTGAATTACCCAGTTCAGAATTTTTGGGTGACTTTATTTATAATAATAATTTAAAAAATACTTAGAGACCATTTTTCACAATTAAATGGGTTTCTGCCTCTGAATTTGCTATGTTTTGAGTTTAACGTGATACTTGTTATTAACACGTACAGCGAAACCCTGATGCAGAGAGAGATAAAAGGCAACACTGATGTTATATGAATGAAACCAGCAACCTCTACTGGCAGAAACTCAGAATAGTATTGGCAGGGACTGTATTTAGTTCAGAACACGTTGGCATTTTAGCCATATTTTGATCAAATCTTTTACAGTCCTTTCCTATTTCCTTCCCTACCCACACCCTTGAGCACACACACTCACATGCATATATGATCATACTTGGAGTGGGATTAATTTCTCATGTGATAAAGACTGCATTGGTTACTGTCAGCTTAACCTGATTTAGCAAAACTGTTACCATATATATACTTACGTATAAGCCGAGTTTTCCAGCACATTTTTAATGCAGATTTTGTGGTAAAATTAGGTTCCTTGGCTGATACTCAGGTCGGCTTATACTCGAGTACATAGCTTACGTCTACTGTAAAATAGGTACCTGCTGGCTTTAAACACCCCCCCCCCTTTCCCTCAGGATATTATATTATTGCCTCACTGTAATTTTCCATGTGTTTTTGTGGTGCAGATAACCATACTGATATGATGGAAGTGGACGGGGATGTTGAAATCCCTCCCAATAAAGCAGTGGTGTTGCGGGGCCATGAATCTGAAGTTTTCATCTGTGCCTGGAACCCTGTCAGCGACCTTCTGGCATCCGGGTGTGTTTCTCAAAGGGAAACTAAAGTGGCTGCTTGCTTTAATCTTAGAGAATTATTTTCTTTATTTTCCCTTTGTTTTTTACAAACATGTACATGTCTAAGTTTTGGGGTTTTGGTATTTTGTTTGATGATTATCTTGTCTGTGTAAATCTTTATTCCTTCATGAACTACATTTAAGCAATTTCAATTCAGTGTATTAGTTCCAAGGCTGCTAGAGGAACAAGAAAAGCGGAGAATGGGAAAAATAATGGCAGTAAATTTTTACTGCTAGTCTAATTTTTATTTTCTTTACTAATGGATGCAAGTATGTTACTGATTCTGTGATAATTAAATGTGTGAATCTTTCAAATATGCTGCCGACTGTGTAGGTCTGGAGACTCAACAGCCAGAATATGGAATCTCAGTGAAAACAGCACTAGTGGCTCCACACAGTTAGTGCTCAGACATTGCATACGGGAAGGAGGCCAGGACGTCCCAAGCAACAAAGATGTAACGTCTCTAGATTGGAACGTGAGTATCACTGCTACCATTGTAGATGTCTTAACTAATAGACTTCTTAGACTCCCCCAGTCTCAGACTAGGGGTTGTGTGTATCTGGATTTCATTGCATTTAAGAATATTTGGTATGACCCTAGTGTAATCAGACCATGGTACCAACGTCTGACTCTTCCATTTGTCTAGCCTCATGGCCTTGGTAAAATTGTTAGCCAGTCTCTTCCCTTCTTGGTTTTCCTGACGTGTAAAGTAGAAGGGTGGTAATAGTTTTTAAGTACATTTGGTTATAGGTGCAAATCCTTAACCTAATAGCAGGAACAACGTATCAAGCAAGACCTTAACGAATTCCTTTGTTGGGGTATAAAGAAATCTATATGACTGAAGTTTTTAAAAAAATTTTTTTTTAAGTTCTTCTTGTTCTCATTTGGCTTTGAACTAAAGAAAACTTCATTGTCACTTGCCTATTAAGGATTATAGGATTGTTAATTAGTCTTGATAACTTGAAAGATTTATTACAGTTGTAGTTCTATTTATGCATATAGACAAACAGACATAGAATATCTTTCTGAGATAACAGCTCTTTTGACAAAAAGATTTTATTTCATTACTAATACCGATTTTTAATCTTTCAGTTTCAAATAAATGATTGCTAGCTTATGTGTCCTTCCATTCTCCTGATTAGCTTATGACAATTTTTCCGTTTTTATAGTTCCCATATATTTTTCTTTAATTTATGCTGCCGTCCCCTCCCTCCCTTGCCACTTACTCCTCCACCCCACCTCCCACACCTTAGCAAGTGAACAACCTATCTTTATAGAATGTGTGTTGTTTTAAAAAAAAAAAAAATTGAGAGGCTTTCCAAATGACCTTCCATTTTTCCCCCTAAGAAATGGAATCTAGCTTTAAGAATGACTGTACCACTAAAGGTCTTCATTCCAAAGTCACACCTGTGTCCTTTTAGCCTCCCTTCTACAATGCGCAGTGACGTGCTTACCCTCCCTCATCTATAAACTTTGATAGTTCTGAAACTGCAGAGGATTGGCACATTGCAATATGATTTGATGGTCAGATCACAACTAAGAATTAGCCTCATGCACCTTGCAGAGGGGTAGTGGGGAGACGAGTCACTTAGGGTTCAGTATAGCAATAATGAAGCCCACAACTTCCCTCTGGTTCTTGAACGCTTCCTCCCCCCAACTACCAGGACCCCAATTTTGCCTTGCAGACCTGGTTGGACTAGATGATGCACAGCGGTACAGACGGGAATTGGGAACGCAGGGAATCTAGGACAGAGGAACCTCTCAGGACCAGGGGTGACAGTGGCGATACCAGGAGGGAAAGGGGATGTAGTAGGGGGGAATGGATCACAGGGAGCTACGTGTGGCCTCCTCTCTGGGGGACGGGCAGCCGAGGGGTGGGTGAAGGGAGACGCCGGACAGTGTAATATAAGATACAATAATAATTTATAAATTATTAGGGGTGCATGGGGGAGGGGGGAGGAGGAAGGGAAGGGGAGGGGGGAAAAAGGAAAATTAGAGGCTATCGAATTTTGGGAATGATGAGGGCAACAAATGTATAGATGTGCTTTACACAATTGATCTATGTATTGTGATGAATTGTATGAGCCCCAATAAATTGTTTTAAAAAAAAATAAATAAATAAATGAAAAAGAATTAGCCTCATGGTATAGATCCTTACTATGTCTTAGTCAAAGACAGGGGAATTGAAAGAGACTGTTCACACTGAAAAGGATAATTATCAAATATTGTTATGTCCGTTTATCTCAGTGATTTGGAACTATGAATTATCACTTTAAAATGGTAGACTTTTGTGAGCTATTATTCACTGTGAATTTGAATCTTTATACTGACCTTGAATAACAGTAGTTCTTTTCCGTGGTCAAAGCAAACGCCTGTGAGATATCAGAACTCTAAAGTGTTCTTTTCCTACCTCAATGGTCGGTCCATAAACTAAATTGTTAGAGAACCATAAGTCTTATGGCAAGCTTTCCACCTGTGCAGTGCAGAAGTACGTTTTTGCTTTGGTCTTCAACCTGGGTTCCTCTCTGTCAGGTAGAACCCCACAGAATTATTCACATACTGGCAGGAGGGGGTCCGTTGCCCCCAGAACCAACGAGTGCTTTATTTTTGCTCACTCGGTAGTAAAGCGGAAAAACACGAGCAGTGCAGAAGGTGGACGCCTGGAGTGCCCTTCAAACACATCCAGAGGGGCTAAGGCAGGTTTTCAGTCTCTGCCTCCAGTACTAGAGTACCGCAGTTATTTGTCTGCCAGATGCGTCTAAAACGTTTGCACGTGCCGAGGATAAGGCAGGGCCCAGCAAAGCAGTAATAGCACCTCAGAGAAACGTATGTGGATTTCTGTGTATAGTAAGTAGTCTAGGCAGCTAACTGGCTCTTTACTTGTGTCGCTCTTGTTATTAGTTAGGCTTTCTCAATGAAATAGAATTAGCAAAGGAAGGAAACATTTTCAATAATACTCAAGAATCTGATCATTCAAAGCGCTATTGTTTGGGTCATGTGGGCATAGGTTTTTTTTAACAGGCAGGGAGTTAAACGGAAAAAACATATATATAATATATAAAACCCCCGCTGCCATCCAGTAACCTTTATTATTCATGGATGTCGGCTGTCGATTTTGCTTCAGAATGGTTACTGCCGAGAACGAGATGTGGGTGTGTCTGCAGACTAAGTAAGCGACCACCAAGAACAGAAGCAACCGCACTCACTGTGAGGAGGGTGTTTCGTGGTCCTGAATAGGCAAGATTGGAAGTTTTAAAGCAGAGTGCTTACTTAGAACAGAAACATGAAGTATTTGAGTGTTCTTTGGGGATTATATAATTGAAAGAAATCTTTCTCTGGCAGAGTGAAGGTACACTTCTAGCAACGGGTTCATATGATGGATTTGCCAGAATATGGACTAAAGATGGTAAGTGAAACATTTTCCCTTTTACTTTGTTGCTGTTGATCCGAGTTACAAAGTTTCCAATAATGTGAATGTGGTTTGTTTGTTTTTTTTGAAATTTCAGGTACCCTTGCTAGCACCTTAGGGCAGCATAAAGGCCCTATATTTGCATTAAAATGGAATAAGAAAGGAAATTTCATCCTTAGTGCTGGAGTAGACAAGGTAAAAAGAAAATTTAACTAATTCTGTACAGGTTTTTACAATAGTACAAATGCAAGCAGTGCTTGCTTTTCTGCTAATCACACAAATAATAGAAGCATCCACATTTGAGAAATTTAAGATAGTTCTTGTAAAAATGCTTTTCTTAGGTTTTTCTATGAGCTCATTCCTGAATCTACGTAGCAGAATGCCCTTTATCCCTTATCTCTGTTACCACTCCCCAGTTTGGCCGGAATTTGAGCCATAGTGGATGCCTTGCCTCCCCCTTCTTTCTGCAGTTTTGGCTCAGCTCATCAGTACATGTGCCTCTGGCGTGACTCCCCGGCAAGTGCTAGAGCCAGGCTGTTAGCCGACTCTTGGTGCTTAATTGAAAATGTAAGAAATGAAGGAACTTTTTATAAACTTTCTCCTCACTTAACTAGGATGGTGAATACAGATGGCTTCGAAATGTGGTCGCCTCCATTTCTCAGTCAGGCCGTTCTCTGTACTACAGCTCCCAAAAATGAGTAAGGGAGAAAAATGTTTAGGATCATTTTAATCCCGGAAATGGCCTACTGGTAAGGGAGGGTTAGCACAGTGTGGTGTCAGAAAGGGAAATGATGAAAAATGGAAGGTGTGATCAATTGGGCAATTAAAGTGTGACCGCCAAATGGAAAAGGAAGCGGGGAAGGAGGCCCTGGAGGGGAGAGCGGGAGCCCCCTGACCAAATCACCGCTGGCTGCCCGGTACCTCAGGCCTGCAACATCAGTAAGCGGGCGTTTGCTAAAGAGAATTGAGAATATATTCATTCCAGTTGATACACCGCACTTTGATGCCATGTAAAAGACATTGTTTTAATATTGTAAAATTCAACCTGCCATTTTAAACTCAGAGTGATGTTATTGAGAACCAGCTTCATTAACCAAGAACTTAACTCTTACATCAAAAAGCTGCAAGAATAATCTATTTTAAATTACATTACTGCAACGTTGCTTCATAAGCAAGGGCTTTTCCTTTATATTCTGTAGAATCGAATATAAGTACCTAGTCGTTAATAGACATTTGATCTTATTTGACATGAACTGACTGATGAAAAATCACCAGGGAAAAACTAAACTGCACAACTTTCCTATCTCCCCTAATCCCCCCCCCCCAAGAAATAGCCTAATTGTACTATTTAGTTAGAATGAAATGTTAATAACTTCATAGTGCTTTACTTCAATTAGGCATCTATTTTTGAGTCTGATGAAATCCCTTTAACTTCATTGCATCCTATTTTTCTTTCTTTTTTCCTGTAATCTCAGACTACAATTATTTGGGATGCACACACAGGTGAAGCCAAGCAGCAGTTTCCTTTCCATTCAGGTAAATCTTTGTAACTTGTGCGTAGATTTCTTCTGTGTTTCCAAAGTCCCCGGGTGGCTCTGAAGGTTTGTGCTCATTACCAACCTACAGGATAGTGATTTGAACTCACGAACCCTGGGGGTAAGGGGGAGGGGGAGAGCGGGGGCTGGCCAGCAAGCTGCTTCCTTTTAAGATTAAAGCCAAGAAAACCCCACGGTGCAGCTCTACTCTGCATTGCTCGTGCTCTTGATGAGTGGGACCCATTCAATGACCGTGGGTTTTTGCGTTGTTTTCTAATTAAACTTGATATAGCGTGTGCTTAGTTTAAAATCTTGAACTGTTAATGATCAATCTTGAGACCAGACCTTTCAGAAGTTGATACTCCGTGACTGTCAGGTTACTCGCCACTTGTTAAAGATCATCAATTGTTTTCCATGAAATGTACCATAAATAAAGCACCTGTAGCCTACTGCCATTAGGAGTCATAATATTTCTTAATGGAAAGATTGTGGGTTTTAAGTAAGAATATCTAGATTTGAATATCTATTCCACCCTGCTTAAGAAGCATTAAGACAAGTCACTTAACCTTTTTGAGCTTCACTTTCACTTACCTGTGAATAATTTTTCATGCGAATGATGTGGTCATAGGAAATATGCTTTCACTTTCAGACACTCCTCTATAATCTCATTTTACATCACCATTTCTAAATCAGTCATCCTGTGTACTTGAAACTCAAAATATGAGCTTTTCCCAGTGCCATTAGAAATTGGATCCTTATATTGATCTCTCTGTTTTTTAAGGAACACAAACCTAATCATATTTTTTCAGTTAAAGTGTATCTGTCACTTAATATATAATAATGATTCAGAAACATTCTGCTTATTTTATTCCTCTTTGTCAAATGGTCTGGGTCATAAAGTTGCTGCAGGCCGTCAGAGAATTAGAGCGAGTGGGCACATGGGATGAGGGTACTTCAGAAACGCCATGGAAAAATCCCACTACCTTTTCATTCCATCTTTCCAGGAATGTTTTTAAGCCTCCTGGTATATACCTGTTGAGCCCTACCATGTCATTAGATACCATTTCATTGGGATGTGGTGCTAATTTCTTTGCCCTTGAATATGTAAGTAGTTTTTAACTGCTTTTGCCAGAAGGTTCACCCAGGCAAGGCTACTGAGAAAAATCACACCAATATCGTCTGACTAATTCACAAGATATCTTCGTGCAGAAAGAGGCAGTGTTTTCTTTTATGATCAGAGATGTCTAGATGGTGAGAGGACAATGCTTTTTGTGTCTTTACTCTCCCCTCTCCCACCCCCCAAACGGTAGCTCTTCATACAGGTTTCCTTTCAGCCTAGAACCATTGTGACTGCTTTCTATGTATTTCCTCACTTCAGTAACTAACTGACAAACAAATTGGAGCAAGCTCCTTAATAGCTTGACAAGAGTCGTTTTTGTACAATTTGATCTAGCCTGTTTCTGTAAAGATTTTGTTATTAGGGAGAGGCCTGTGATTCAGAGGGTAACTATCAATGAAGTCTTTGGCAGTAACTTTTTAAACATTGCTAATGGCAAAGCGTCACTATCAAAATTTAAACTTGCCGCTTCTGACATTTTGCGCTTTCTTTCTCCACTTGGTTATTTATTGCTGCTCAACAAGCCAGATAAGGCACAAAATTGTTTTTCTGTAATACATGCATAACTGGGGACTGCAAATAGCGTATATAAGTTTGCAAGCGTTCGTATTGATAAATTCAGTTTGGTTAAAGGTTAACTCTGCTAATAGGTATTTATACATCGATTTGCTGGTAGTGGTGTTTTAAATACCCGTTTTACTTCATTTACTTTGCTTCTAGCACTTAGAGCATTTTCTCAGGCTTCGCTCAAGTCTTCTAAAAGTTTTTCCTCCCTCATGAGAATGTTGCTAAGTCAACATAAGTGTATGTTTTCCAGGATTACTAGCTGCTATCTCGTATCAGCTGTGTCCTCCAGTAGACAGTGTTCTATGTGCACATTAATCATCTAGTCCCAGTAAGGTGCTTGGGTGCAACAAAATGCTCAGGCCACACCAAGTCAGAAAGGCAGTTCCGGCATAGCCGGGGGAATCCAAATGCTCCTTTCCAGTGTTCCTTAAATTCTGAGTGGGAAATGATGTGTGAACACGGAAGACCAGGGCTAAAGTGTGCATAGGGTAGGGCTCCCCAATGTTAAAGCCTAATCGTTGACAAGAGAGTTCTGCCATTGAGCTTTTGTAAAGATTAGACCCAAGAAATCTGTATGAACCACTTCTATTTTGTAATAGTACATGGGCCCGCCATGACTGGAAGTTGACTCCAGGGCATCAGGTATTTGAATGTAACTGTGAAGTTAGATATTATTGAATCATTTTTATGTATAAACTTACTGCCTCTATACTTTCCAACCAGGCTTTAAAAAATAGCCAGGTGTAAGTGACAAACTGAACTGTGGATTTAAACTGTGCAGGTTGATTTGTTTTCACCTTACATATGTCCCTGAGACCAACACCATACTCAAGCTGAGGAAAGCTTTCTGCACCTTTAACGTTTTTCTATGGCTGTTTTTGATGTTTATTATTCTGTGGTCTTCTGATGATAACCACCCGGCTTTCCATCACGATACGAAAATAAATAAAAAAGTATTAACTAAATGGGCTCCAGATCACACTTGCACAGGATTATACCCGCCACAGCACGGTTAAACGTGACAGATTCAACCAGTAACTAATCCATTGGTCTTAACCTCATTAGGGTGCCTTCAAAAGAAAACAAAAACAACAAACAAAGCTCTAATCAAGACGGTAGCTTCTGGGGGGACTTACTGGACCAGTTTAATTCAGGCACACAGGTTAGCCTACCAGGTTATGGTGACTGTGTTTGGGGGGATCTTTCAATGGGCAATCTCCATAGATTTTCTCCAAGGAAACAGGGTGACCATGGAGGTTCATTAGGACAAACTGTTGTGGAAATTGGAAGGTGCATTGTTAAGACAAAGTCCAGAAATTGGCATCTCGGAATGCTGCTCTTATCATTGACAATGTACCAGTCCTTCAAGAGTAGCAAGAGCTGCCCCATAAGGATTGGGAAATCCTGCCCCATCCAGCCTTCAGCTCTAATCTTCCTTCTTCGGATGCTTTTTTTTTTTTAAAACCCAGAAGTCAAGAAACATTGAAAAGGAACATAATTTGAGTCCTTTGAGTATACAAAAAGAACATTTTTGATCGGGATTGACTGAAGAATGCAGAATTAATTGGAGAATATTAGAGGAGGAAACACAGTCTATATCCTTTCAGAAGGATATAGATATGATAGTGGATATGTGGACAAACAATAGTTACACGTTATGATGATTTTGTTTGATTAAAAGTTTGTTAGGATTTTGTAGCAGTACTTTTTGACTTGTCAACATAGATTGTTACTTTCTATTGGCTCTCACTCTGTATATTATTTTAAATGCCTTGATGTTGTGACAGGTATCCGTGGTACATTGTTTTTGTATTAATAGGTATTCTGTTACGTAGACTATTCATTAATCTCATGAAGGAAGTTGGGACTGTTTTTAGTTTGGGGGTACATACTGTGAACATCTGTTTATTTTCTTTGGTCAAGTCTGTGTTCTTTGGATTACTTATTTAACTCAGTTGTTTCCTTATTACCGAGCCTTGAGAACGCTATATATCCTGAATGTAAGTCCTTACTCAGCTGTACATTTTACTGATACTTCCTCCTGGTCTGTGGTTTGTCTTTGCATTCTTTTAACAGTATTTCTCGAAGACCAGAAGCTCATAAATTTTGATGAATTCCATATTTACTAATTTGTTTTCTTCTTTACCTAATTGGCCACTTTCCCCTTTTTTCCGTTCGAAGTGGAAAGTGAGGTCATTCTTTGGCAACTTTCTTTTCTAGTATGGCCATTTAGTGCTGCTTAATGATTGCTCATTTCTTAAAATAGGTTGTGTTTTCATTTTAGTTCAAAATACTTTCTGCTTCTCATTTTTATTTCTTCTTTGACTTAGTTTTTATTTAGAAGTGTACTAGCAGTTCCTGAATATTTGGGGGTTTTTGTTTTCTGTAGATCTTTTTGATAATATTTCTAATTGAATAGCATTGTTCCTGTAATATCCATGAGGTCATTTTCTAATAATGTGATAAAATTGCTGGTTTTCTCTCCTTTCATGTGTTATCGAGAGAGATATTGAAATTTCTAACAAATTGGAATAAAAGAAGTTGCCATTTCTTTTGAAATTGCTTTTGCCTAGTCACTAGGCAAAATAGGTTTGAACTGATATTAACAGTTGTGTAAGCAGTGAAGGACATTGTGTCTTCATGCTGGATTTGAACCCTGGCCGCACTGGGAGTGAACGTGGGCTTTCACACTCACACTCTTTCTCTAAAGAGAGTTGAGGTGGCTTGCCCCCTGTTGGAGACCCCTCAGTGGGGTTGTTATGAGTTGAGACGGACTTCTTGGCTGTGGGTTGGTGGTTTTACTTTATTTTTTTAAGTCCCTGTTAAGGGCCTCTGATGACACTGTGCTAAGCATTGGTGTGTTAAGTGCCTGGTTGGCAGCTTATACTCACCATAAGGCTGTCTGCTCCCGTAAAGATTTGCAGGCCCCGAAGCCCCACAGAGCAGATTTGCCTGGTCCTATAGGGTTGATATGAGCTGTAGTCAGCTACCCAGCAGTGCATTTAGTGTGAGTGAGTGTGGGTTATCTTTGCCTAGTAACTTCTTTTCCTATGATGCTCTGAAATCAAATTGGTCTGGTATTGATAACGGCCATTCTAACTTTCTTTTGGTTAATGTTTGATGCATCTTTTTTCCTGCCCTTTGACCTTTGCTTGGTATCCTTATGTTTAAAATATAATACTTAGTTTTAGGCGCCATTTAGTCAGTTTTGCTCTTTCTTGGTCAGCCTCACCATCTGTGATGTTCAGTTCTTATAGTAATGTAGACTGTTTATATTTCATGTGAATTTAATCAGCCATGTTTCTTTCTGTCATATCTTCTCGGTTTCTTCTCTTTTCCTGCCTTCAGATCAATTGAATATTTTTAATGACTCCCATTTTCCCTTCTTGCTTTGCCGAACTCAGGAAGCGTAGTGGGCTACGTGTTGGGCTGCAGAGCCGTTCGGTCCGGGGTTAAAAACCACGAGTTCCTCTGCAGGAGAAAAAGGAGGCTCTCTACTCCAGTTACGCATGAGCGGCTTGGGAACCGTCCTGGGCACTTCTGCTGTCCTTCAGGGCAGCGAGCTTGCGAGTGGAAACTGACTGGATGGCACTGCGTGGCTCTGGCTTATCACCTCGGACTCTTTATTTTATTATCCAGTGGTTGCTTTAGGGTTTACAGGACACATCTGTAACGTACGACCACCCGACCTCAAGTGACTATTTTAACGAGATTAAATAATTATATTTGCTCATGTACTGGTGCTTCTTGGGATGTATACATATTTTGCTTTTTTCTTTGTGTTTTTAATATTTCTGGTAATACTTATGGTGTGAATCTGCTGGTGTGAATTCTTATCAGCATTTTTCAGTTCTAAAAAGGATTTCACCATCATTTTGAAAGGCATTTTGCTGTGTATGGAACTCTAGGTTGACAATCGTTTTTGCTTTATTACTTTAGAGAACATGCTTTTGACGGGAAAACACCTATCATTTTTGTCTTTATCTATTTAAAACCCCAAACAAACCCACACCACCAAGCCAATTCCAACTTGTAACTCAAAACTCCCTGCCTTCCGTCCAGCCCGTACTGACTCATAGCACCCCTGCAGCACAGGTAGAGCCTTGCTAGCACATCTGAGAGGGAAATCTTTTGTTGCTGCAGCCGCCACCTTTCTCCTGCAGAGTAGCCTGTGGGTTTGAATCTCCATTGCCTAATCCACACCCGCACCAAGACTTCTTTCACACCCCGCCCCGTCGACCTGTAAGATTTTCTTGGTACCATTGTCTTTTTAAAAAATCGATCTATATTGTGCCTTGGTAGGCTTTCTTCACGTTTCTTGATCTTTGGTTATACTTAAAAAAAAAAAAAAAGAAAAATCCTCTTTCGTTATATTCATTCATAGTTGTCCTCAGATTTGAGAAAAAATTTGTGGCCATCGGGTTGTCAGCTGTCCCCCTGCCCCCTCTCCTGATGGTCTGATAGATCACATAGACGGCAGGTTCCAGTTCTCCCAGCGTTTCTTCCCTGCGGTTTTCATTTCAGTGACCTTTACCCCACAGCTGCATTCCTTCTTCAGCATCTAAGCTGTGGCCCGTTTTATTCAATACATTTTTGAAATCTCTTAGTTTAATATCTAGATGTTTCATTTAGGTTTCTTTAAATCTTCCATTTCTTTACTTAGCTTTTTGGGTATATTTGGAATACAGTTTACAAACTTTAATATTCTTGTTTGTTATAGGCAAAATCTAAAGTCCTTGTTCTGGGTCACTTTTGATGATTTATATTCTTGGTCTTGTTTTTCCTTGTATGCTCAGTAACTTTTTTTTTTTTAATCATTTTTATTAGGGGCTCATGCAACTCTTACCACAAACCATACATAAATCAATTGTGTAAAGCACATTTGTACATTCATTGCCCTCATCCTCAAAACATTTGCTGTCCATGTAAGCCCCTGGCATCAGCTCCTCATTTTTCCCCTCCCTTCCTGCTTCCCCCTCCCTCATGAACCCTTGATAATTTATAAATTATTATTTTGCCATATCTTGCCCTGTCCGACGTCTCCCTTCACCCACTTTTCTGTTGTCTGTTCCCCAGGGAGGAGGTCACATGTAGATCCTTGTAATCAGTTCCCCCTTTCTAGCCCACCCTTCCTTTACCCTCCCAGTATCGCCACTCACACCACTGGTCCTGAAGGGATCATCCGCCCTGGATTTCCTGTGTTTCCAGTTCCTATCTGTACCAGTGTACATCCTCTGGTCTAGTCAGATTTGCAAGGTAGAATTGGGATCATGATGGGGGGATGGGGGTGGGGGGGAAGCATTTAGGAACTAGAGGAAAGTTGTATTTTTGATCATTGCTACATTGCACCTTGACTGGCTCATCTCTACTCCACACTCCCCAACTCATTCACTATGGTAAGATATTTTGTTCTGATGATGCCTGATACCTGATCCTTTCGGCACCTTGTGATCACATAGGCTGATACGCTTCTTCCATGTGGGCTTTGTTGCATCTAAGCTAGATGGCCGCTTGTTTACCTTCAAGCCTTTAAGACCCCAGATGCTATATCTTTTGATAGCCGGGCACCATCCGCTTTCTTCGCCACATTTGCTTATGCACCCATTTGTCTTCAGCATTCGTATCAGGATGGTGAACACACAATATGAATTTTTGTTCTGTGATGCCTGATAACTGATCCCTTCAACACCTCGTGATCACACAAGCTGGTGTGCTTCTTCCATGTGGGCTTTCTTTTTTCTGAGCTAGATGGCCGCTTGTTTACCTTCAACCCTTTAAGACCCCAGATGCTATATCTTTTGATAGCTAGGCACCATCAGCTTTTGTCACCACATTTGCTTATGCACCCGCTTTGTCTTGAGCGGTTGTGTTGGGAAGGTGAGCATCATAGAATGCCAATTTAATAGAAGAATGTATCCTTGCATTGAGGGAGTACTTGAGTGGAGGCCCAATGTCCTTCTGCTACCTTAATACTAAACCTGTAAATATATGCACGTAGGTCTATTTCCCTATCCTCATATATACATATATTTGCATCCTCATATATGCATATATTTGCATATGTACATGTCTTTATCTAGACCTCTATAAATGCCCTTTGCCTCCCAGCTCTTTCCTCTATTTCCTTTGACTTTCCTCTGTCCCACTATCATGCTCAGTCCCCACCAGGGTTTCAGCAATACCTCTTGGTTACATAACCCGTGATCATGCCCTTTCACGCCTCCTACACCCTCCTCATCACCGATTTGGATCACTTGTTTCCTTGTCCCTGGGTTTGTTAACATCACTACCTTTCCCCCCACGTCCCCATATCCCAGGTCCCCCCGGAACTGTCGGTCCCGTTGTTTTCTCGTCCAGATTGTTCATCCAGCCTATCTTATTTAGACAGACCTGTGAACTAGTATTTATGAACTTTAATACACTTGTTGCTTGAAATCAGTTTCATCCCTCTGGGTCTTGTTTTTAAGATTTGTTTGGTAGCAAGCAAATACTTGCTGTGGGCCTAATTATTTCCTAGCACTGAAGAAGACCCTTATAAATGTGTGCTTCATCTATTTTTCCTTGAATCATGAAGTTTTATAGTCTGACTGATGGGTAGGAGCATTATTTCCAACCTTAATATCAGGAATTATTTTTTATAATCCTGGGCCATAATTTTTTTTACTGTTTTTCCAAATCCAGTGCTATTAGTATGTTTCTGTTGCTTAACCTAATCACCTGTTGTCATTACTTAGCTAGGTTTTGGAAAGGAAAGACTCTTTAATTCTATCAAACCTAAAATCAGAATAACTATTAAATTCTAGCCAGCTTTTTGTGCTCCTGAGAATATGAATTCGATGATGTGTGTGTATTTATTTAAATCATTTTATTGGGGGCTTGTACAACTCATCAATCCATCCATCCATTGTGTCAAGCACTTTTGTGCATTTGTTGCCCTCATCATTCTCTAAACATTTGCTTTCTACTTGAACCCTTGGTATTAGCTCCTCATCCCTCCCCATCGCTCCCCGCCACCCTTCTCTCATGAACCCTTGATAAATTATAAATTATTATTATTTTGTCATGTTTTACACTGTCCAACATCTCCCTTCACCCACTTTTCTGTTGTCCGTCCCCCAGGGAGGCGGTTATATGTAGATCCTTGTAATTGGTTCCCCTTCTCTACCCCACCCTCCCTGCACCCTCCTGGTATCGCCACTCTCACCACTGGTCCTGAAGGGATTATCTGTCCTGGATTCCTTGTCTTTCCAGTTACTATCTGTACCAGTGTACATCCTCTGGTCTAGCCAGATTTATAAGGTAGAATTGAGCTCATGATAGGGGAAGCATTAAAGAACTAGAGGAAAGTTGTATGCTTCACAATGATGTATATTTTAAGAAGGATTTGATAAGTATCATGGCTTAGATATACACACACAAAGTATAAATAATAGTCCATTTATCAGCTGAGTAGATAATGTGAGTAATTTTTTATTCAGTGTAACGATTGTGTAACTCTTGTAATTTATAAAACATTTTTCTGCACCCACCTTCTCACTTGATTTTTACAATGTCTACGCTATGTGTGAAGTTGGTATATTCCTATTTTTAGCTAAACAAATAACACATGGAGGTTAAGTGACTTGTCTAGGATTCAGCACCTAGAGAGTGGGAGAGCCAAAAGTTATTGTTCTGTCAGACAGTCAGATTTTGGATGTAAAAAGAATTATATCATTAGGTTAAATTTTACCAATTTACAACTGGGATATCAAGACCAGCGCTAGTAATCTACAGAGCAAGGTGCCAAGCCCCCTAATCTCTGTATTACTATACCTGTGTCTCACCTAAAGGAGGATGCCAAATGGGAATTAGTATTGATAGTATATAAATTCCTATTAATATAATTACCCTAATTTTTAAAGAATTCATAATTTCTTTAAAAGTTGAAACTGCTTTACCTTCTGTTAACGCATACTTTAGAATGTCATCATGAATCCAAACTAAAACACCTTGATTTCAGTGCATGCAGAACAAATATGCAAATCTTACCTTTTTCTCCCCCTCCTTTCCAGCGCCAGCATTGGATGTTGATTGGCAGAGCAACAACACCTTTGCTTCTTGTAGTACAGATATGTGCATTCATGTCTGTAAATTAGGACAAGACAGACCTATTAAAACATTCCAGGGACACACGGTAAGGACCCACCCCCAATTTAAAGTGATTGTGACAGTGTTTCAGGTTGAATTTGCATTAAATTTGTTTAATGTCTAAATGAAACTGTGAATATTTACTGTTACTTTTAGAATGAAGTAAATGCTATCAAATGGGACCCAACTGGCAATCTCCTGGCCTCCTGTTCTGATGACATGACTCTGAAGGTAATTTAGTTGTTTTGATTTGTTTTTTCTTTATTCCCAGGGCCTGGTGTGCCCCACCTCTCCACCCCCCAACTCCCCCCGAAGGAACAGGCCACAGGAGGCTTGCCCCAGGTCCTGAGGGCACCCTTTCTCTCTGTCCTCTGCGAAAGTCACATGTGTTGTGGCAGGTGTAGCCATGCAGAGCCGGGAGAGGGGTAATCCAGTTTTAATGGGAGAGATGTACTGGCTTCTGCATAGTGTGGCAATTAACTTTCTCATAGTTCACCAGAAAAGTTATAAATTTAAGTATGAGGACTTGCTCTGCTTTTTTTGTGGTTAATAATAATATTTTTAGTCTTATTTTTGTTTTCTGAAATATATACACTAATTCTAGCTAAGAAGTATTGTGAAGACAATATGTATATGATCATCAGAACATTGTGTGTGAGGCTGGCCCAGGGCGGGGTGGAGTTTTGTTCTGTTGTGCATGGGGCAGAACCGCACCTGTCGAGGGCACCTGACAGCAACAGCCAGGGAGAAAGATGGGCTCTCGACGTCCATGATGGAAGTTCCAGCTGCTCTTATAAGATCCCTCTAAGTCAGAAATGAAGCCATGACAGTGAGTTTGGTGGTTGGTAAAGCGGTCTTAGAATTCTTTCGAGAGGGAGGTGGTGTGAAATGGCACGTGGGCTCAGGGAGGTCGGCGGTGTAGGCCACCAGTTCCTCCTCAGGAGAAGGGGAGGCGCTCCTCTAAAGAGCGGCAGGCTCGGAATCCGCAAGGGCACTTATACCCGGTCTTAGAGTGTAGCCGCGAGTCAGAATTGATTCGATGGGTTTGAGGTTTTGAAACTTCATGCTAATTTCTTTTCAATTATTAGTGTGACTTGTAAGTCGTTTACATGCTACTTTAGGTTCCAGTCTGACGTTCAAACTAGACACTGTGTAGAGTGATAACATACTTTCTTTGTTGTCTGTTTAGATATGGAGTATGAAACAAGACAACTGTGTCCATGATTTGCAAGCACACAATAAAGAAATTTATACTATCAAATGGAGTCCAACAGGACCAGGAACAAATAATCCCAATGCCAATCTTATGTTAGCAAGGTAATGCTTTGTTCACTCTTTTCCTGAGAGGTCTTCTGTCAAAAACCCATTAGCTAATGTGGGATAAAGCCAGAGATGATTCCATGAAAGGAGAAATGTATCCTGCAACTTTTAAACTCTGTGTTTCATTATTAGTATTTTTAATTCCTAAAATGTTTTTAGGTTTGATGACATGAAATACTAATTAGACCCAAATAATAAACTTTGTTTAGCTAATTTGTTGAAAAAAGATAAATTGAAACACATGGTCTATTAGTGTTCAAAATTCTCTGATGAATAAAGTGTTTATTTGAAAATGACAGTGAATTAGCTCCATAATGTGCAATTTGGGTACTTTGAGGTGGTTTTTAAGCTGCAGCCTCTCCTGATCGGCCTTTGCTCCCCATATTACTTTCCCTAACACCATCCTCTTACAAGGAGGGGTGTAGCCATTGGGATGCAGTGGCCCTGGGGCCCTGAGAGTGTTTCATGACTTATATATATTTTTTCCCCCCTGTTGCAGTGCATCCTTCGATTCTACTGTTAGATTATGGGATGTAGACCGAGGCATTTGCATCCACACTTTGACAAAACACCAAGAGCCTGTATACAGTGTAGCTTTCAGTCCTGATGGCAGGTATCTGGCAAGTGGTTCTTTTGACAAATGTGTGCACATCTGGAACACACAGGTATGTTCGTGTTACTGAAGTGGTCAAGTATTCTAATGTTTACTAGAAAACATTTGCCTGTTTCCCTCTTGGGCCATCCTTCCTCTTGTGCTAATTTTTCAATTCTCAGTTTTCAGTAAAGTGTTTTTTTGTGGAATTTAGAGGTATGTCAGAACAGCCCCTGAACCTTGGTCTTGAATGTAGAGTAGCTAAAGCGAAGACAAGAAATGATGAAATAATGTTGAACAAAGGACTTCAACGAGCAGCTAAAGAAAACAAAGTGTTACGATGAAGTCTGCAAAGACTTGGAGTTAGAAAACCAAATGGGAAGCATAAGCTCGGCACATCTCAAGAAGGACGAGTTTCTGACCTAAATACTCTTAGGTGCAAGAAGCAGCCAAAGAAGATGGGGAGACTACCACAGAGTCACTGCCCCAGAAAGTGTTCGTCCACAGTCAGCTGTATTAGGGGTCAATACATGATTGAGAGCTGGTGGTACTGAAGGAAGAAGTCCAACTTGCATTGAATCCTTACTGGGAAAAACGAGGCTCCAAGAATTGACAGGATTGAGGTGCCCTCTTGTCTAATCCACAGAATTTGATTCTGGAGCTCCCACTTTTTCTCCTCTTCAAAACCACTGTATTGGGAGCTAATAGAAATAGCATATCGCTCCATAGTTCAGTCACTTCAAGCAGTGTTGTACAGTTGTTACCACAGCCAGCTTCAAAACATCCTCCTCCTTCTTGATCTACTTGATACCATCTCCTCCTCACCCCTCCCTCCTGCACCGTCCCCTCAGCAGCCTTCATTCTGCGCACTGTCTCTACAGGGTCATCGATCCTCGGTTTCATATACCAAATGCCAGAAAAAAATAAGAGGACTACTCCCCCGTCACAAAGCTCCCAATATGAATGAGCCAAAATTCATACATATATATTACAGAAAAATTTGAAAGCCAGATCAGAACCACCTTGCATGGGGGGTGGGCGTGGAAGGGTCAATGGACAAGGTTTTAAGTGTTCGTTAGGTTTACCATTTTGATCTGTAGTCATCTCTCCAACATAACTACTTGGCAACCAGTTTTTTGATGATAAAGTCAACTTAAACGCACCAGTCCATCCATTGGACACAGCTGGAAATTCAAGCTGGATTCAGAGGACGTTGGACAAGGGACATCACTGCTGATGTCAGATGGATCTGGAGAATACTAGAAAGATGTTTACCTGTATTTTATTGACTGCGAAGGCATTTGACTGTGTAGATCCTAACAAATTGTGGATAATATTGTGCAGAATGGGGATTCTGGAACCATTGGTTGAACTCATGTAGAACCTCCCCACAGAGAACAAGGGAGTGCATACTGCAAGTTTAATTCAGGAGAGGTATGTCAGGGTTGTGCCCTTCCACTGTGGTTCTGCAGTCTGTGCGGAGCACATCGTTTGAGAAGCTGGTCCGTAGGAAGAGGAATGCAGCATTGCCATTGGAGGAAGACTTACCATCATCTTAGATAATGCAGGTGACGTGTCCTTGTTTGTTGGAAGTGTGGTGAGGTGAAATTACTTGATAGAACTCTTTCGCCCATAGGTCTTTGTATCTCCCACCTCGTCACGGTAGGCTCCTATATAGAAATAAGTAAGGGATAGAGGACTCTAACTTGGGAATTAGACTAGTTTTACCATTTTACTGAGTATAAACGTGAGCCATCTTAGATGCGGAAACGGGAATCCCATGAACACCCAGACAGAAGAGTCACCCACCGGTGGAGTAGTGCAGACGAGCAGTGCTCAGATGGGAGGCGGGGGAGAGGTGGGCTCGTCAAGTGGGGTACCCTGTGCAGAGGAGCTTTTTAACACTGGTGGTGGGGCAGGACAAAGGCCAAGGAGTAGCTTGGCTGAGAGGCTAAGGACCAGAGAGAGGTGTGGCTGCTGGCACGACCAAGCTTGACCAAGGGCCGTCTCCTCGATGTTTTCTGACGCTGACTTGGGCTGAACTGTTCACTTCCTTAACAAACCGCCATAGTGATGCTGTTTGGGAGGGTGGTGTGGCCATTGCCACTACTGACCAAACCCAACAGGGACATGAAGTGCCGTGAGAGAGGGAATACCATAAAGACGAACGGAGACGCACGTAGCCCCCCTCCTGCAGCATCAGCCTTGGATTCTCCTCCTCCCTACTAAAGCTGGAGGAGGTCAGACGTGGCCCCCAGGCCATTTCCTCCCAAACAAGGATGTGAAGCCCTTACTGATACAGGAAGACAGTATGGATTACACCTAAACAAAAAGAAAACACAAATCTTCAAACCTGACCCAGTCAGCAAATACATGGTACAAGGAGGAAATCTTGACGTGGATCGCAGTCAATAAACATGGAAGCAGAAGTCAATAAATCACATCATATATTTATTGATGTTACGGTTGCAACAAAGTGCTTAGAAACGAGGATTGGAATCAGCTGAAGTTAATTAACACTTTCATGTGTAGGCCAGACTTGCAAAATTTATTTAGGTTACTTGTTTGTTTTTTCCCAAAAAACAATTTTGTAGCTTTTGGGATTTATTTGGGTAAATGATGCAGTTTCTTTGTTTTCTAAAATAATTACTTTTGTGGGAGTTATGCATGAACTGTAAAAGATATATTACTGAAAGACAAGTTAATGTGACTGAACACAATGATTAATCAGAATCTTTAAGTTCTTTCGAGATAATGATAGAGACTCTTTTCTTAAACTAGAGAAACATTCTGCTTTCTGTTTCCATATTCCTAAGCGTGACTTTGTATGCCCCAGGTATGATCTTTCTGCAGCACTCACATGACTTGCTTCCCTTCATTGATCAGCTATTTGTTGGTCATAGTGTCCACGTACTAAGTAGCTGTAGCTCCTGCTCTGTGCAGCTAATCACCGCAGGTCTATTTACGGAAGGCATGATGTGTGTTTTAAAAAAAAAAATCACTTTTAAAAGTTTGACACAGGAATATCTCAATTCTGTCTCTATGTCCTATAAATATCAAGCTTTCATAACACATTTTCCTTTTCTTAGTTCTCTCTATAAAATAATAGTGATATTTATACTTACAATATAAGAGCATACATTACCCCTTAGGCTAATGTAGAGAGAGTCCTGGTGGTGTAGTGGATGGTTACCCACCACGCTGTTCAGCAGTTCAAAACCACCACTCTGCAGGAGAAGGATGAGGTTTTCTACTCCCATAAAGATGGACAGTTTTGGAAACCCACTAGCTTAGCAGCTCTCAACCTGTGGGTCATGGCCCCTTGGGGGGGGTGGGGGTGTCAAACAAGTCTTTAACCGGGGATGCCTAAGATCACCGGAAAACACATAAGAGTACCCGGTGTGAAGACTGTTACTCATGCTACACCATGCTTCAAGACAAAATTTCATTTATTTGTCAATAGAAATAAATATTTCACAATATATAATTACATATTGTTTTTGTGCTTAATCACTATGCTTTAATTATGTTCAGTTTGTAACAGTGAAAATACCAGATATTTATATGGTGATTTCAGATATTTATCAGATATTTATTTCAGATATTTATATAGTGATTCATAACAGCAGCAAAGTTACAGTTATGAAGTAGCAACGGAAATAATTTTATGGTTGGGGGTGGTCACCACAACACATGAGGACCTGCATGAAAGGGTCGCGGCATTAGGAAGGTTGAGAACCGCTGCACTAGGTAGTTTTACTCTGTCCTGTAGGGTCTCTGTGAATCGGAATTGGCCCAACCGGTAACACAGTGTTTTTCATTTGCATTGCTCCTATGAGTGAGATCAAGTACCTTTTTATATATTTTGAGTTGTTCATTATATATCACACACGGTCATTTTTGGGGTAAATTCTCTAATACCTGTATTTTGTTCTTTTAAATTTGATTATTGGTCATCTTGATTCCTAGGAACCCTTTATATTCCTTGGGTTCTGAGTTGCAAATGTTGTTTCCTATTTAAACAAATAGGAAAATTATTAAGCCGTAATTTTAAGTTATACTTTAAACAGAAGTGTACTTTAATATTTTATTATTCCTTAACTTTCTCTCCACTTTCAAAAATTGATGTATTTTTTGTTGTATATTAGTAACTATTATACAGCAAAGCCACATTGACTGATGTCAACTCATGTCTGCCTCACTGTGACCCTAAATACTCATAGGACAGACCGCTGTCTCCTCTTGCCCACTGCGTAGCAACTGCTGAGCTTGCTGTGAGCGCTCACCCCACGTTTCCCCCAGGGCTTTTATGAGGATGTGACAATCTCCCCTGATGTTTACTTGAAACCTGTATTTGTGGTAGGGGATAAAAGTGAATCTGGTAAAAAAAAAAGTGAATCTGGTGGCTTAAAATTGGTTAAAATAGCTTGAATAATATGTGAATGTATAATTATATCAATCTCAGCATAAATTCAAATTTGTCTTCAGGTTTTACTTAGGATGATGAAATAATTTAAATATGTAGAGCGTAGACTGACTAACATTCTTAGCAGCCCCACTCAGCTCTGACCAGTGCATATTTACCCCTGTCTGGTGCATATTTACCCCTGTCATTTTAGATCTTCCCTGCCCCCTTTCCAATATGATATAAAATATTCCAGATTCTATACAGCTAAAATGTTCATTTCCTCATCTTGTTTTTTCTTAGAGGCAATAACATTTCTGAAGGGAATATCTTTCACTCTCATGTAATAAATTATATATTATATATACTTCTATTTTTTTTGTTAAAACTGCACATGAATGATGCTGTATTTATATCTTTGCGGAGTATATTTTTTACCTACTATATATTTTTTGAGATTTGCTTTAAACATGGAACTTTAAAATGATGGATTGCTTTGGTGATTCTTTTTTTATTTTTTTATTTTGGTGGTTCTAAGAGCACTCTGCATACCGCATATTTAAAATTTCCCCAATTATGGACTTTTCTTTTTTTTTAATTTCGGGGCTAGAAACTTTTATTTTCTTAAATTTACTGGGTCAAATTCTTATACATTAAGTACTGTATAATTCTGTCCTTAAGATACTAATATTAGATTTAGACATTATTTCATCTGGATTTATTTGAAGATATTCCAGTTAGTCACTCTTCTTGTAAACATCTAAGAAGCTGCCAAACCAGAAAATAGGGCCTACACCAGGAGAACCTTAAAATTAACCTCCCACCACATTTTTTCTTAAATTGCTATGTGAGTGGGGTAGGAGTGCGGGGTCATTCAGTTAATTTTCAAGGTAGGAAAAGCATGTTGTCAGTCAAAAGACTGTGCAAGAGACCGCATAGCTTGCTTCCGTGGTCTTCCTGGAGCTGTCCTTACTCATGACAACCAAAGCACACAGGTATCACACAGCAAGGTACCGGTACTGTAGCTCACAAGGACCGGTGAAAGCTCAATAGGATATTAAACCTTAGAGGGATCTTTTCATGGTTCATATTTGGGCGTAAGGGGAAATTGTCTGCCACATTTCATAGCTTTTAAAAATAGGAAGAGGTTTAGCAGCTTAAACTTTGCCATTATGATAAGAATTCTTACACCAGAATTTACTTTGAAATATAACTTACACCAAGTAAATTAAAACATTCCATCGCCTGGTACTTTTGCACAAGGGCATCCTTTAAAAATTGGACCATCGTATTAAAAAGCAGTCTCTGGTCAGTCACCAAATTCATACTAAAATAATCTGGTTTTGTAACATAAACACCAACAAAACTTGACATAGGCCACAAGTTTATTCCGTATATTTATGGTTCTTACTTTCCTAGATACTTAAAACTTTGACATTTTACCACCCCCCACTTGTAGCACGCTCTGCAGGGCTGCCTTTTTAGGCCAGCTCACTATCAATAGCTTGTGTAGTGCTAGAACACAAAACTGTATTTTGAAAGCTATTCAGCAATCACTAAGCACTGTGTATAAAATGTTGTTGGTGCATTTGTTGGCAGACTTCCATCCACTGCCTATAAGAAGCAGGGCTCTTGGTGTGTACTGTGCCTCTTAAGGAAGGCCCTAGTGCCCTTCCTACAGTCACCACTGTGCAATTCCTAAAATACAACTAATGACTAAAAAAATTCACATTTTTTTCTAGCAATAATACATCAAGTTGGCATATAACTGGTCAAGAGTTTCAAGGACATTAATCCTTCAAGATTTTCAACTCCAGTTGCCTGAGTTCTTGATGCTTATAATCTGATCCACTTGTCAACAAGTAGATATAGTGGTCCATGAATAATAATCTAAAGTTAGTATTTTCCCTCACAAAAAAAAGAAGAACTTGATTCATCACTTCCCAAATCTAAACTTAGGAGCAGTCAAATGAAAACGTCATTATCAAATTAATGTTGTCATTGTACGTTGCACTTGTACAATCATTACACCACAGTGCACCCATAAAACAAGTCTAATTATAGTTTCTATATTAGTTTTACACTGGACTTTTAAAAACAGTAACAATGTTATGAAACCCCAGTCCTTGGTGCCTTGAGCACGCGGCGAAAGCTTATCTAATGCACAGACTGAGTGGAAAGGCGAGGCCCATTGATTATGCCCACTGCTGTCCAAAGGAGTCGCCGCATGCCGGGTTCCATTTTAACGGCAATCTTCCTTATTTCTCCTCATCCTGAAGGTTGTCAGATTTCGTTATTTTAACATATTCCCTCCATTTTGTGGCTATGAAATAGAATTTTTCGTGTGTATCATTTCCTTTACTGTTGGATTCTCTATATATCTATACATCTTTTCATATAATTAATGATTAATTGGAGCTTAGCCTTTAGGATACTAATCCACTTTGAGCATATGGATTAAGGTGATCTCCCAGTTCTTTAACTTTGAGTTTTCTTTATGGGGCATTTCTCCTAGTACTTTTAATAATAATTTTTTTAATGATCAGTTTTCCCTTGGATTCCCCTGCCCCCTGGGTAGTGCCGTCCAGTATTTCTGATATAGACGCCGCTGTGGCCATCAACGTTTTCTATGACTTAGTTGAAGAAACCCCTGGTGGGGATGTGGGTGTGCACTGGACGGCCTAGAGAAGGTCAGCAGGGCACTGCAGGAAACACGAGACTTTCTGGTCCCAGAAAGAGGGAGGTGCACACTCAGCAACCACAGATGCTCTGTAGGGCCGCTAAGAGTCAGATTAGACTCAAAGGCAGCAAGCTATCTAATGGGGGAGGAAGATGAGGCAATCTGCACCCTTGAAAGACCGGCTGTTTCAGAAACCCTCTCTGGACGGCGCTGAGTCAGAATCGGGAATTGGTTGGTGGCAAGTGGTTTGACTTTGGTCTCATTTTATATTTCCATAGCGTCACAGCTCCGTTTGCCTTTTTTGACCATCCCATTTTCGTTCAAATTCAGGAATTAGTGATTGTTTTTGAAGGGAGGGTTTTGGGTTTTTTGTTTTTTTTTTGGCTTGTTGTTTTTAACCCCACATTTTAACGTCTGTATTGATTTTACTTCTAAACGGTACATTATTTTAGACTCCATTGGTGCTACTCCTTTCTGTCGTGGGGCTGCCAATAGCAACCGTTCATGCACACTTTCAGAAGCTTCAGCCAAGCAACAAAACAGTTGAATCTTCTGGGTGGGATCAGCGAGAATAGTTTGTCTGTGGTTTGTGCAATGCTTCTCATTTGAATTTGAAGGCACCGAGTCACTTTGGGATTGCTCTGTAGGTAGATATTAGCAAGATACATCCTTTGCTGCCATGCCGTTTTTAGGTAGAGGGTCTACCTCCGCTTTGACTTTTTTACTTCACCAGGAAGCTGCACAGATACGTTTTGGGCTTGTCAGGGCCAAACAGCAAAAGCTTTGTACTTCTCCTACCTGTGCACTGTGGTAGTATCTTTGATAGCTTATCAACCCACTCTGCCACTGAATGGATTCCAATTCATAGCAACTCTGTAGGACCAAGTAGAACGGCATCTGTGGGCTTCCAAGACTAAATCTTTACCAGAGCAGATAGCTTCATCTTTGCCCCATGGGTGCCTGGTGGTTTCAAACTGCTGACCTTGCAGTTAGCACCGCAGTGCATTCTGCCTCCAGGGCTCCTAGGCTTAACAATCACTTAGTAAATGTGGAGGAACTGACATATTTTGCTTGAGTTGTCTTTCCTAATTTGATACACTTCCTCTTTATGTCAAAGACATTCGGAATTAGTCTGGTTTCTCTACCTATCAGTCAAAGTCATGCCTGCTTCAGTAAAAATGGTAACAGCAAGTTGGTAATCCATGTTTTATGTTGAGTATTTACTTAAACAATTTTTATTAATTGTATCAAAGAAGCTAAAACAAACAAAAAGTATCTCAACAACCAGCCAGACTGGCTGTGTGTGTGGTCTGTTGTGAGAGCAGACTTAAGCTTGTTTAGCATTTCCAAACTTGCATAAAGCCCTATCTGATTGTGTGAAATAAAGCCATGTGATAGCTTGACTTCAGTGGTTAGATTTATGAAGACATAGGTTAACATTGTGCGTGTGTGTGTGTTTTGTCTTGTTGGTGTCCTTTTTAGACAGGTGCTCTAGTTCACAGCTATAGGGGAACAGGTGGGATTTTTGAAGTTTGCTGGAATGCAGCAGGAGACAAAGTTGGAGCCAGCGCATCAGACGGTTCAGTAAGTATTGCCAGATATTTCCTAGGGGGTGCGGCTGCGGGAGTAGGCCCACACACTGCACACCTGAAGAAGCGTGCCTTTTTCTGGTTGTGATCACAAAAGAATACAAAAATACTGTTGGTTTTTTAAAAATAAATGTAAAGACACAGTGTATTGATTCTCTACACACCCACCCACCCTTTCCTCGGAATGACAAATTTCTCCTATTCGTGAAATTCATAGAATGTAAAAGATTTAGACTTTTTTTTAACCTGAAGAATTTTCATAATCAAGAAATAAAGTGGTTCTTATTTTCTAATGTAAGCTATTGTTAGTGAAACCAACACTGAAGGAATAAATGGGATTTCCCATTGCAGGTTTACCTTCTTTCCCCAGAAGTGTGTTGTTGATGATCCAGGGGAAGGGACTGGAGAAATTGGGTGATTCCTCAGTCCTTTTCAGAGCTTCCAGCGCACTGGTATTCCTCTCACTGCCAACCCCAAGTTCAGCAGTTAGAGACCACTAGCCTTTCCCTGGGAGAAAGAGGAGGCTTTCTGCTTTCCTTAAGATTTACAGCCTCGGAAAACCATCAGGACAGTTTGTCTCCATCCTATAAGGCTGCCGTGTGTCAGAACAACTCAGTAGTATAGGAAGTTTGGAATTTGGACTTTTGTTATGTTTTTGTATGCTTTCTTAGAGAAAAGTTACTGATTTTTAAAATGCTCTATAAATATCTGAACACTTTGACTGATTTTTTAATTTCTTACAGGTTTGTGTATTAGACCTTCGGAAATAGCGCTACTAGTTGGAAGCCATGGACCGACTATGAATGTGTACATAGCCAAAATGACTGTCCTGACCCATGTACTGCTATAGTCCCACTTGAACCATGGCCAGTCCACTACAGCCAAATCTAAAAGAAGTATATACCTACAGTGTATATAAACAAAGTTGCACCCTGAAGATGACAAGAGTTTTGTCACAGCTTGTGAATTCTGTTCACCAAGTGCTGGAATCTAATCTGCTGTGCCCCCAAATAGCATTTAGAAGTTTTGGATATGAGAAGCAGAAGAGAAAAGGAAGTACATTTTCCAAAAGCATCATACACGTACCCGTCTTTGGATACTAATGAGAGCCTTGTTTCTCCCTTTCGAATCAGCAGACACCACGGATTATATTCTTTCCCCCCTTCAGTAAGCAGTTTATATGTACAGAGAAAATGGACTTACAAAAACTTGCAGCAGTAGTTTGTTCTTGCTTTTAATCTTTGTTTTTGGTTTAGTTAATGGATGCATGAAGTAAGGGAGTGAATCAGTTTCTTGTTTATATTTTTTTTCACCGTTTAAACAAAAATTTTTCTTAAAAATATTTTAATGCGTTCTTTTGAAGAGGTAGATGTTTGGTACATTTTATGGCTCCCAGAGCATATATTCAGTTGGTGCATGTTGTGGGCGGGGGAGTTGGAAATGAAGTGACACACACGGATGGCTTTGGTCATGCCCTTCTCTAAGACATGTCAGTAGAAGGGTATCATGCTCTGGGTTTTCGGTGATGTGGCTGAAATGCAATAGTTTCTTTTTGGGGACATATTTCTGCCAATTCAAGACTAGAAGGGCACAAAATGTTTTGTTTTTTTGAAAATACCATATTGAAGATACATAAAAAAAATTTTCTGATGTTTTGTAGCCATAACTAAATTATGGTTAAAATGTGCACTATCGTGAACAGGAGCAAAGTACATTTGGGCTTTTTTTCTGTTGTTGTTGTTCTTGTTTGTTTGTTTGTTTTGCTTTGTGTTTTTTTTAAAGAGATTAAACTGTTTCTGGATAAGGAATAGCTTCTCAAAGTGCCCATCATTATCGGTAGAAGCTTAATATATACTATAACCAAACTCCAGTATTAAAAATCTCTCATGTTATTTTTCTTTAGACAAAGCAAGATAACGGCATATAACACTGCCATTACGTGGTAAAATGTTTGCTACCTTAGTTTAAAAAACAATCTTTAAAACAAAAGACTTGCTTCAAGGTGTTTTTGAATAGCAATGATTCAGAATTTTAGAGGTTTCCAGAAAACAAAGTGTAATTGCACTACCCTCCTTGCTGCTCTGAGTCTGCATTTGTAGTACTTGTGACTGCAGGCTTTCAAATAGGTGGCTTTAAGCTGCTGGTCCCCCCACTAATCACTGCTACATCCTGCCTTTCAATCTGTTTATCATATTAAGTATTTTCCAAAGAATAGTTATCAAATCAAACGTCCTCTAATGCTCACGCAGCTAAAACGAAAATACTGAAATGACAGCACGAAGCCAGGTTTATGTGTGTGACTAACGGTGTTTCAGGATTGACATAAGAATCCAGGTGTGTTCAGTTTTGAAGAGAATAGTTGTCAAATTTAAGTTAATTAAGAAATTGCTTACTATCAAGCTTGGCAAATTTATACCACTATTTCTGGTACAAATTAGTTTGAAGCCTTTATTACTAAAATTTTAACCCGTGTTCTGTGTTTCAGTAGAAACTCGTTTAACTCAAGGAACGCAGCTTTGGTTTCCAGCCTTTGTTGGGTTTGCTATTTTCCTAAAGAGCGTGGACTGAAGCAAGTCTTGGTTTTACTAAGGTAGGGCGGCATTGGCTATTGGTACAGAGAGTAAAATACACCTAATTTCACAATGCATTGTTAAATGGACCCCTAATTCTTGTTAGTGGTGATGATGATACTGTAATACTATTTTTAAAATTTTACATCCAGAGGGGCGGTCATTCATGATGGTTTTGTGCCAGCTGTTTTTAGGGTTTTGGAACACACATTATAGGCATTTAGAACTGTTACCCTGTGACTCACGTAGGAAACCTAATATGCTGAGTACCTGGCACTTGAAATCCTGCTTTTATTGCTAGAGGCCCACATGTGTGGTTGACCTCTGTTGTTGTTTAAAAAAAAATAAATAAAAATAAAAAAATCTGTGCAATAATTTTTAAATGTGCTCCCAGGAATAGACGCAAATGTTTTGAGTATGTTTAAGCTGCATTTTTCTTTAGCGATGCATTTGTCAATTGCACTGAATTTAAATCTGAAAGTCAGAGGTGATTATTGATAGTACTTTTGTATTTTGATATGGACAATTTATTCATTTGCATACAGTTAGTGATTTTATTTTCCCAGCCAATTAAAGGATAGTCAAGAAAATCTGCAATATAGCTGCCAAAACCGACAGCGACGTTTTCATGGTTTTGTCAGCTCTCCTGGTTTTGTTTTTCCTTTTTAATCTTTAGCTATTTTCCTTAAGCATCATAGCCACAGTAGGACATGTAAAAGATTATAAATACAGAGCTTTATTATCCTTGGGTCTTTTAAGTATGAGCTTATCTGAAAGGTATCCATTTTCTAGGCGTGGGTTCTGTGTGAGCATACGAGTATTTATTTACTGTTGCTGCTGTTCTCAACATCACCACTGCCTGCTGACGTGCCGCCATGCTGCCCCCACGGACAAAAGTCAGATGGTCTCTCATTCGAGCACTAACAATCGCAAGAGACCAAATTCCACAGTCTGTAAAGTTCTCAATTTGAAGTTCTTGCTCAATTTTCCTTCTATTTTATTTTTCTTTCTGAGAACGTAATATACCTACAAAACTCCTGAATCCAGTAGTTCTCCCTGCCCTCATGGTATTCATGATAGATCGTTGTTGTATAGCTACTGTAAGAGAGGAATCTTATACTTACTATAAAATAAAAACGGAACGGAAAGCTCGAATGCTAATTGATTGAAGTAGGAGTAAGAGCAGCTGTCACTCTTGAACATTCTAAAAGAAATGAATATCTTTGTTCTTGTCCATGTAGGTAACCCCTTAAATTCTTATAATTTGTTCCAATTCCCATTGCCTGTTCTTAATCAAGTACCGTCACTGACTTTCAAATGACTTTTTAAAGTGGGAACTTTTCATTTCCTGATGGGTCTTAGGGAGTATCCAATTGTGTTTAATTCTTCTCTAGGTAAGTATGTTTTAGGATTAAACACCTTACACAAATACTGAAAGTGCCTCCTTTTGTGGTGTTAAAAAAAACAAAAACAAAAAAAAACAAATTATGGTGCAAAAAGTAATCATTAGATGGAATTACATGAAGGTTTTTTGCTTTTTGACATGTAACAATGTCAAGAGAAAGGCCAAAGATTTGTACTTTTTCACTTATAAAGCACTCCTTTTTTTCTTAAACTTCTTTCTGTCAAATTAGATTTAATGAGAGAGTACTATTTTTAAGGAGCTGTTTATGTAGAATGATTTTAAAAGTAATGTAAACTATCGAGTAGAGTCGTGAAGAGGAGTATGCGGTTTGTTTTTTCTTTTTGCTCATAAATTGCAAATGACCATCCTTATGTGAATAAAACACAATGACAAGTTTTATGACAAAAGCAGAAAAATCATTTCAAAGGCAATGCTATTTACTTGCTTGGCAGCGATTTTCTTTTTCTTGAGCACATAGGCCATTTCTGTAGACCCCGTGTTTCCTGCACACTAAGGATGGTACTTGCATATGGTTGATTACTATTGACAGTTTCTGCAGAAATCCTGTTTTCAGTGGACCAACATTGTGGCATGGCAGCAAACGCCAACGTTTTGGGGAACAGCAGCAAATCTACAAGAGACCCTAGGTTTTTGGATGGTTCCCCACCCCTCTCCTGCATCAGCAGGGACAGAAGAAGGGGAGGGAAGTGATGAATTACTCCTCCTGGTAGCAGCTCTGAAGTGTCACATTCAATATCAAATGGTTTTAACATGATTCTAGTTAAATGTAGACAAGCAACAAAAATGAGGAAGTGTTCACTTTTTAATACACTGATTTAGAAGTTTGATGTCTTATACTAGTAGTTCTGAGGTATTAATAGCATTCTTTATTTCTGCCTTTATGTTGGCAGTGTTGAAGCAGGCTGAATCACTAGGGCGTATATCTATATATTATTTTCCCCCCACTCCTTTCTTGGTAAGCTGTTTCATGATGTTTTCTTTGGGATTTCTGAGTAAGTTCAGGAAAACATGCTGCATGTTGTACCTAGTCTGATGTACTTCTCCATCTCATTGAAAACACAAGCCTACAGACTACATTTTGTAATTCTGGGCTCCCTGGATACAGAAGTCATTTTCTTCTTTCCTGACTTTGACATTGTAGCTCTAATGTCTTCATTTTGATTTTTACAAATCCTTTGGGTCTAATTCTGTGAGCCTACCTATAGCACTGGATTAAAATGTCTGCATCATTTCTTTAGTTATCCAGTTAACTTTAAAACTGTTGTAAAAGTGTAAACCAGCCCATGACAGTTTTTTGTACATGTTAAAGAACTTTATTGTTCAGTTTCCATGATTCCTCGTGTGAGGAAGACCGATAGAGTTGTTCTATGCTGTCCTGGACCATGTTGATGACACTTAACGATGTTTTTGGTTCCACATCACGATGATTTGTCCCCATGACCCTTTCATCCTTTTTAGGCACATTTTTTTTGTTGTTGTTATTGTTGCGGTTCCCCTTTGCATTGTATTGCTTTGACAACTGTAATTTGAATCAGATCTGAAAGAGGTCCAGAATAAAATATATTTTGATATTATGTTGGCCTGTGTACATATCTGAAACGTTTGATATCTGTGTAGAACATATTACTGGTCAAGTAAAGAGAGGGTTGCTATTACTTGTTTACAACTTCCTGTTTACATTTTAATTGCTTTTATTCCTCTAGTGTTCTGTTGTGGACACTAAGCTTTCCTGCTCTAATTTCGCCTTACCACAGTTTTATTGTCTGTCATCCTGCAGCCACCGATGGTAACTCCCATCAGAGCCAGTGCCACAGGCCGTCACAAACCTATTATTTTCCAGCATACATGCTTTAAGCCCATAGATACATTTTGCTACTTTATTACTTCTTACAGGAGATAGGTTTTTGGTTGTTTCTTTTTAGATAATGGAATTGTGTACTATTTTTATAAAAGAAGAAGAGCATCTAATCATTAAAGAATGGCTACTCTGAATTATTTTTTTAAAGTTGATGTTGTGTTTAAGGGAAGAACCATTTGACATCACCTGAGAGAGACCTCAGATGGCCTCTGTTGGCCGGCCGTGCCATTGAGCACAAAGCAGGGCAGAGCATAGCGCGTTGGAAAATCGTGAGGCGTGTCTCAGGTTCCTTGCATAAACCAGTCGTAACTTAATCGTTTTCTCTCCTTAGCTAGTTGCTTCCGTTCTTTACCAGCCGCAGAGGATCTAGTGAGAACTCAGAGCAGACATGTTTCGTCAGTCCCAAGTCCTGTAACTATTAGAGATTTCACCCCGACCCCTTACTCCCACCCAGCCACTAGCTTTCTTTTCCTTTTTAAAGAACTTGTATCGTCCATGCCTTTCACTGTCCCTTCTGTTTCCTATGACGACAACGAACACAAGCATTCCCATAGCGATTGAGTCGATTCTGACTCACTGCGACCCGCTAGGACGGTCAAGCTGTGCCTTGGGGTTCCGAGGCCTGAAGTGTTTACAGAAGCGGGCAGCCTCAGCTTCGTCCCTGGGGACAACTAGTGGATGTGAGCTGCCAACCTGTCAGATGGCAACCCAGTGATTAACCCACTGTGCCACCAGGGCTTCTAATGCAAACATAACCTTGTAATATAGTACTGATTGATATGCTGCTGCAGTAGCTAGAACGTTCTGACAGCCATTCAAAGGGTTTAACTTTCATTGCCTGGCATAGATGATTAATTTCCAATATTTTATGCCTTTAAAAAGTAAAGACTAATTAGAATTCATAGAAGCTTCTGGTAAAACAATTTTGTGCGAGCATAGACAAGATTGCCAATTTATTGGCTGTTACCCTTTATAACACATGGCACACGTAGCATAAGTAAATGGCAGGCAGGTTAAAGTTTGCCATTTGCCCGATGCAGTCCTCTGCCAAAATGGTCCCACAAGACACTGAGCACTAGTTTGGCAGGGCTGCGCTCTGCTCAGCTGGTGCTCCGTCAGGAATGGAATGTGAACCCTATGCTCCTTTATTGCTTCTCTTTGCATGATTCTCTTCAGACGTCGTATTTCAATGCTTATTTGTCCTAACTTGTAATCTTTTTGTATTCAATTTTTTAGGAGTTACTTGTAATTTCTTTATAATTTAAACCGTATTAAACACAATGTGTTTAGTAAAGTATAGAAGACGCTGATTAGTGTTTCTTGGTGGTTGGATTTGTATGCTCAATTGAGTAGGAAGCTCCACATTTTAAGAACCAGAAACACTGGTGTGGAAGCTACCCAGAAAATGACCACAGGTGTGTTTTTAAAAATGCATACATTTCTGAAATTCACGCACAAATACAGTGTCTGCCCGGGCTTGCTCAGGAGATGTACTACCAATAAAACCAGCCCCGCTTCACCTCCCACCCCAACCCGGTAGATGAAGAATTCAAGCACCAAATGGGTACCCTAAGCGGTCCCTTCCATCTTTGTGTTAAAAGTCCAGTTGCAGCAGTGTTCTAAACAATTTACATTTGAATTAGAAAGTTTTGAAAAAGTGACTTTGCCTTCAAAATAGCGCTTGTCAGTCTATGTAGCATAGCCTTAACTTTCCCCACATAAGCTTCTCTTGACTTAATGAACAGTCATCTACAGAGCATCTGTCTGGTGTCCTAGCCCGAGTCAGTAGAGGCCCAGAACTTAGCCAGCACTCCACAGGAATGGGGACTTGTGCATCCAGCATGGATGTCAACAACGGCTTTATCATAAAGCACCCAAATAAAGTTTAACAAGACAATGTAGCTCTGCAATATTTAATAATGCAGTTATTAAAAAACTTTTTAAGCTGAAGTGATTAAAATATTTAGCATGTGGGATATAATTAAGGGCTGAAGTTGGACACTTAAAATTCGAGGTAAATTCGTTTGTCTTTTCAAATAAGGTAAATGCCTGACCCCGCCCTTGATCTAGCACTGAGGTACGCATATGACTTGTAATAGCACTTGCCTGTTTGAGTGCCTGAGATGATGGATAGGGTGGGGTTGGAGTGTTACTGGCATATTATAATACACATAGGCTTGTAAGGAAATTCAGAACAAAGCTACAAGTGATAGATACTCACTTCCAAACTCCATCCTTTCCTCGGTGCTTAACCACTGTGGACACTTGGTGTTTGTCCTTCCAATTTTTCACTGCTTAGATACTCACTGGTTTCAGAAACTTAACCTCTTCACCAAAATCCGTGTGGACTTTTCCCCATCAGTGTAGGTGCGTGGTGGTGGTTAGGCTGCCATCTAGTCAGTTGCAGTGCGTAGTGACCCTATCTACTCCCAACAGAATTTAACACTGCCCATTCTTGCACCCTGGCAATTGTACCTGTGCCTGAACCCATTGTTGGAACGACTGTGTATCCATCTCGAAGTGTAAGAGAAAGTAGGCACAAAGCCTACTTTGTGTCAGCACCATTGAGTCAGTTCCCACCCGCAGTGACCTGTCGGCCAGAGTGAGACATTTGCAGCACGACCCGTGCCATCTCCCAATTGTTCTAAGCCTGAGCCCATTGATGCAGCCGCTGTATGAATCCATTACATGGAGGGCCTTCCTCCTTACCAAACTTGCTGACCTGCTCTAGGGACCGGTCTCTCCTGACAACACGTCCTGTGAGGGGGAACCAAAAACAAACCGGAAAACGAGCGCTGCGGGAGCTTTCGGAGTCTGCATGTTTCCCACAAGGCAAGCATTGAGCTACGCACTCTGAGCTAGTGCCCCTAGTGGCGTCACGTGGGAAGGCCTCGTCACAGTGAATATTTTCGGAAAAGTAGTTTGGCTCAAACCTCATTTTTTGTGATGACTGATCTAAGAGAACAGCTTTCAGCTTTGAAATTTTGTTTTCCGTTCAAAAATGCCACAGAAACTGTTGTGATGTTAAACACAGCGCCAAAGGAAAAACTCAAGTGTGCGAAAATTTTCTCCTTTAGAAAACGGTGAAATGTCTATTGATGATAAGCCTCGTTCTGGACGTCCGTCAATTTCCCTAATGGATGAAAATGTTGACTCATGGTGCATTTGTAGTTCCACCAAATCAGACTTAATCAAGCTTTCTATTTAGAAGTTCTGAAAAAATTACGTTTAAGAGTGTGACCAAAAAGGCCTGATTTTTAGCAGATGGGTGACTGGTTTTGCCACTATTGACAATGCACCTGCTCACACAGCCATCTCAGCCAGTTTTGGGCAAAAAACAGCATGCCTGTTTTGCTCCATGCACCTTGCTCACCTGATCTCACTCCATGTGACTTCTTTTTGTTTCCCTGAATGAAGAGGGACACAAAAGGACTGCGTTTTGATGGCACAGAAGAGGTGGGGAAAAAAACGAGGGAGGTGCTGTGAGCCATCCTAACAGACGAGTTTGAAAAATGCTTCCAGCAATAGAATCACAGATTGGACAAATGTGTGATGGAGAGTACGTAGAAGGTGATGAGGTGGTTTTATTTAAAAAAAAAACAAAACAAAAAAAAACATACATAGCTTTGGGGGGAAAACCCTGCAGTTTTTTTGGTATCCCTTCATATAAGGGATGGAAGTCCTGCCCTCCTTGCCTCTAAGGCGCATGCCGGCCTCCTTTCAACACAGCCTGGTTTGTCCTTTTAGCAGTCCATGGTACTTTCAATATCTTCCCTAGCACCACAATTTAAATGCCTTGATCTTTCAGTCTTCCTAATTCAATGTCCAACATGCGTATGAGGCCAGGGAAAATATTATGGCTAGGGTCAGGCACACTTTAGTCCTCAAAGTAACATCCGTGCTTTTCAGTTCTCCACAGAGGGCTTGTACAGCAGGTTTCCCCGTGATAGGTGTACTCTCCTAAATTTGTATATACAGAATGTGCTATACAAGTTAAGAGCAATGATTACAAAGGCTACGTTGTAGTATACCCAACATGTTAACTCCCTATAAGCGCATGTTCCACTATTTCCTGTTTGCCACACAAGGAAAGGTGCAGTGATATCTGTGTCTGCAGAACAAACGATTCGAATGTGTCTCGATTTTTAGCCACTTTCATAGAATCTGTAAAACGGGCCTTCCAACCATTTCTCAACCTAAACCAAATGTGTTAGTTTAATGATCAGTTGTCTGTGTAGGGGGAGAATCTATAACCAGCTATTGTGAAGAACTGTGCCACCAGGTTTTCATTCAATGGCTGATTCTCGGGGACTAGCAGGCCACCTCTTAAGGTGCCTTTGAGGGGACCCAAACCACCAGTCATGGACCATGGCCCAGCCCTCAGCGGTTCTCATCCCCCAGAAACTCCACGTGTATATTTACTCCGTGCGCTTACAGGAACACGAGAGATGCTCAGAGTGCAAATTCGTTGTTTTTCCAATTTTAGACAAATAAGTTGTCACCACACAGTATTTAGAAAAAGCAACTAACTAGCTCTTAAAACCGCATCACTAGCCACTGATTGTTTTTAAAAAGTGCCAAAGATTTTGTGAAACGTGGATGAGTATTTTTCTGAAACAACACCTTTACAGGTCAGGTTTAATTATAAACTTACATCCGGACTATTTCATGCTAATTTTGCTGAAAGTCAAATTCCCAGTCAGTGAGCTAGAACAG